TGGAAGAGACTGGTCCAGTTAAAAGTATCAGACCTACTTCAGCTACAGATGTGTATCTGGATCAGAGCCAAAGGGATTCAGCGTCCGGTAAAGAGTAATCCTGAAGTCCACGCAGCAGAGGTTAGGACAAGAGGGTCTGCACGCCATATCCCCTTCAAAAAAACAAACACATACAGGGCGTCTCCTGCTAAAAGGTAACGGTGGGTCCGTCAGACGAGCATGGCCGGATTGATCCGATTGATACGGTGGACAACACGGGAATCAGCAAGTGTGTGGCTGTCCTGGAGAGAGCAGGAGTGTGTGTTTGTGCCCGCGAGGTTGGGCGGTCGTCAGCTGGGTGAGCTCCGATGCATACGTGTCCACGAGTGTATCTTGTCTTGCTGCACGTTTATGGTTTGAGGCCCGCCGATACGAGGAAGCCTGGAGCTCCAGTGGCAGCAGGCAGCCTATATTCGCTTCTACTTTGGCTGGCTTCAGTCCTCTGCTTTATCCCTCGCACGCAGACGCCGGTAGAGGCAGAGAAAAGCTTTTATCTCCGGCTGCTGCAGCTTCACACTCTCTTCTGCTCGTTCTCTCACAATCAAACCCCTCCCTCCTTTGCTCTCCTCCTCCTATTGGCTTCCTCGTTACTCCTGCCTCTCTCTCTCTCTCGCTCTATCTCTCTCTCTCTCTCTCTCGGCTGTAAGTGAGCAGCTTTCTATGCCACAAACACACAAACGCACACACAGTTGACCCAAAAGCTTCCCTCAATGACAGCGAGCAGGAGAGAAATCACATCTTAAGACTGTTGAGTCTCTGCAAAATAAATGAGAAGCGGGGGAGCACTTCAATCTATTTCTCCCTCACTCTATTCCCATCGCATCCCTTCATCTGTCCATCAGGCTACAGGTTATGAATGGCTCCGGGGGTGGAGAGAAGAGGCGCAGGGATTGAATGAGGAAAGAGATTTGAGGGAATTAAGAGAAAGTTGAAAAGGACAGAGGAAAACCAGGAGGGGATTGTTGGAGGATGGGAAAGGCGAGCGCTGAGGGGAAATACACTTTGACTCAACGGAGATATTTAGACTGTTTATACAGCGGTAGCTAAGCTTTTAAAATCCGTGGTTGTATTAGGTCGTGGCAGGATTTTTAATGGCAACATGGAATTTGTAGGATTTCTGCATCAATGTGATTGAGTACCTGGATTTAACAGCGATAAATCCAATGGATTAGCCCAAAAAAGCCCTTTCAATCAGATTTTTAAATCTATAAACGCTTAGTACTTTGCCATTTTCAACAGATGTATTAAGTGTTTCGGTTCAAGCTCCTCAATTGTGATAATTGTATATCTATTATACTATTGTGCATTATATTTTTATATCTTGGACTCTAAATTGGAAAAAAACAATAACGTCATGTTGTGTATTGGTCATTTCTGACATTTTATAGATAAAGACATTTCATTCTTTACAATTTAGTCGGTAATGGTAATGGAAACCGCTCAACATATTTAAAGGCACAAGCAGTCTTAGAGCCTCTATAGGCATCCACCCACCCTCACTGCACACACTGTAGGTTGAATAACCCAGCTCATACATACATGAGATCATGTAGAGTGCAACATGGCAGTACCACTGCAGGAGAAAAAGAAATGTGTCACCCACACCGCAGATGAATCAACTCATGGTACTTTGCATAAAGTAAGTGCCTAATGTATGGGGAATGTTTTCAGAGAGACAGATATGGATGGAGACCGCTAACAGGCGGAGCTCTCAAGTGGGAAAAGCAACGCAGTAATCCATCTTCTCTCATTACCCAAAAAACAGAGAGCATAAGAAAACAACACGCACAAACATACATATGAACCATGGGAGAAAAGCACAAATCAAGCCCCTGAGGCTTTCATCCATTCACTGTGGATACATGGCATCATGAGCTATGGTTATCAGAATGCAGCTTTCATCTGAACCCAGCTTTTCTCAAGACGAAACCACTGCATGTTGGATTTTTAGAAGCTCTTTGATCATATATCAGGCAGCTCTTTGTCCATTCTGTGCACTGGAGCATTGTGATTGATCTTGATATTTTAATTATCATAAGTCAGGCTCCATCTGCACTCAGAGTAGCTAAGACATTTCATTCTTACATCCCAAAGCTGTTCTGAAAAGCACATTTGTAAAATCCAAGAAAAGCCTTTCCACCACTAAAACAATTAGTATTTCTGTGACACACACTTCGCTATAATGTAGATACCCTGGTTTTTCAAGCACTTGAAAGCTACTCTGGTGTTTTTAAGAAGTACAATATATTATGCCATGTTGCTCATACATTGCTGTCCCCAACTAACATGACAGAGCCTGTGGAAGGACATGCCTCCAACTTAGTCTATTAGTAAACGAGTGCCAATAAATGACTGAAAATAAAAATAAAATCCATCTAATTTGTGTTGCTTAGAATCCTCAAGACTATTTTAGAGGGCTAACATTAGCTAGACAAATAAGGTTTGCATTAAAGATGTTTTTTTAAAGAACTGAATATAAACATCTGCAACATAATTTTACATTTTTTTTCCCGCTATATGGTGGGAATCGTTGGCAATCAATTGATGCAACACAGTTCTAAATTGGTACCAATAAGGAACACTAATAGAGCGACCCTACCTGCTGATTCTGCCTTGAAGCAAGTCATATCAGTGTTGAATTTCCTCTACAGCCCAGAAATTACCTGGTAATAAATTAGCAGCGAGGTGCCACCAGCTTGGCCAATCACAGGCAAGAACTGTGCAGCATGGTTGTTTCCGATTGGCTACAGACAAGCCAGATCATCTTTAATACTGAGCTAACTGCTGTCACTTAGTGGTTTGCCTGAGTAACTACAGTCAAGTTTAAAGCTTTGCTGCAGAAATAAATATGTTTTCATTTTATTTGCGTAGGATGAAACATGAAAGACAAGCTGGAGCTGACAGATATTTCCTGGACAAACACAAATAATTCGCTTTGAGTTTAACACAGTTAGACAGTAGGATTGCTGACTAGGAAAGTTATCCGAGTCAGCTGACAGAGTGAGGTAATGCAGAGATAACAACTCATCTGTAACTCGATGTGTCAGAGAAATAATGACTTACAACAATTACACTAACATTAAAAACGATAGCTCACTGAAAGAATTCCTATAATTAAAAGTAATTTGATGAGTCACTTGTTTGCACATACAGTACCGGCCACAAAGACCATGAGGCACAAGAAACAAATATATAACGTATTGAAATAATAAGATACTTCAGCAGTGACAAGTATTCACTATTAAGCTCTAATGTAAGTTATACTCAAATTGTATTTAGAGTCAGAAGAAAACAAACACTTTTGTGACAATATGTATTGTGTATTGCTCTGAATACTGCACATCAAAACCACATGTTTAGAGAGTTTGATTGATGATATGTTAACAAAAAGTCATGGAAGATGTCTTTTCCATCTTTGTAAAATGAAACAACTCTGTTATCTTGAGGAAGATGTTACATTGTCTCTATTTGAATATAGCAGAAATAATTCCAGATGTAGTTCTGATCCTAGGGATATGTTGTATACTTTGCAGTGTCATTGTACCATGGACAACCTGACATAGGTATGTGGAAACAGAGAATATTATGGCACATGCTGCAGGAACACAGAGCCTCTCACTGCAGCAATGCCGTCATCTTGCTCTGCAGAAGAATTCCCTCTTTCCACCTATTTATATATTTCCCCCCTACTTCATTCATTTCCTCCTGACCTCCTCCAGCCTGTCAATCATCCCTGGGGTTAGTCCTCCATCATCACTTCATCCCTCCCCCTCTCTCTCTGTAACACCATTTTCTGCTGAGTCATGCCCACTGGAACTGTTGCAGGGGTGTCACGCACTACTGTTTCCGTAGCAACCAGCTGGCAGTGTTACCTTGCTAAGGGTCACGTTACAGCGCAGGCTACTGGTCGAACATAGCCACTACAACTGCTGTATTAACCTTTCTAATATCCACAGGAGTATAATGTTCCAGCAACAAAACATAGAATTAAAAATAAGATGCTAAGAATGTTTTGGTTCAATTATTTCAAAAGTCTTGTAATCATTTGTTTTTGGCTGTAACAGGGCTGTCATGCATGAAAGGTAATGGGAGTCCCGCTGTAATGATTTAAACAAGAGTACAACTCTGTCTCAGGAATCAGAAAAAATCACTTCAACAGTTCAAATGATTGACTGTCTGGATTAATAAAAACAAGACATTTGTTTTTATTTTGCAGTGCATTTTAGCTGAAATGTTGATTTGTTTTCATAATCCTTAAGGCTACTGTAGGTCTAAGAACCGTTTTCCTTTTTTATTTTGTTTAGGAGGAATGTGAATTATATTTTTAAAAAGGTGCTATATAAACCATTTGGTACCTAAAGGACTAAATCTCTCCCAAAATGATAACACCCTGTGTTAACTCAAAATCCCTGAAGAAAACTTGTCTCGCATGCCTCTAAGGTAAACAAGAAAATAAGAAAACTTGAGAATATTAAATAAATGGGGGTGGTTCAACAACAGCAAAATGAGACTGCAAATCTCTCTGCTCACAGTAAGAGTTTGAATATTGTTACTGGAAAGACTGAGGCAATGACATTTAAACAACACTGTCCAAAAACACTCAAGTCTCTGAATGCTTCTAGAGATTCAACAGAAAAATATTGAAATACACACACCATGTTGCTAAAAGTAACCTCTTTTCTTACATAACACACACAGAACTAAGCTCATCCTGGCAGCGTTAATCACTCAATTCCCAACAGCTGGACAGAGATCCTTATTAACAACAGGACAGCACAGAAATAAAGTCAACATTAAGTCGTCAAGAACTAGATATAAGAGCCTTTAGCCTCCTGCTAAGCGTTTCAAATGAAGAATACAAGAAGTTATCTTGGTGCTGGTTAGACGTAAATGACCATTAATCGAGTCCAACAGAGGAAACAGAGCCAGAAGCTACAGATCAGCGTGTGAGGGGTACAGACCTGGAAGTGAAGGATGATGGTCCAGATGAGACCTAACGTCAGCTTGGGGTTCCCGTCGGTGATGTCATCGTTTCTGATGTTTACAAGTTTGACCTGAAAATGGAAAAATAAAATATTTTTGGTTTGTTTTCCTCACAAATTGCTCAACATGGCATAGGAAACAAGATACAAAAAAGTATTTAGCACATAATCAAATACACACTGAGAAGAAAACCCATAACTCCTCCTTATTTCTGCATGTTATGCATGAAAATGTATCTCTGTTCCCGGTCTCTTGCCCATTATGTGAGAGACCTTGTTAAATCTTGCGGCTCCAGCTAAGCCGAGCCACCCGGACTATATAATTAGACCTGCAGTGAAACTCGGTAAGGATTCAGAAAAAAGAAAAGGTCATTACTCCTCCGCTGCTGCCTCCAGGGAACGACTCAAAGAGACAAGAGATGGTTTTAAAAAGAAAATGGGGCCACTAGAGATATGGAGTAAACGAGAAGATGCAGTCTGAGTGAGACAGAGATAATTGGTGATAGCAAGCAAGGAAACAATAAAAGATGCACTAGGTGAGAGAATAGGGTTGCAAAGGGTCATCCAATCTCTGACACATCTTTGCACTGCAATTTAAATAGTAAAATCTTACCTTTACATAATAAACTCATCTCGGGGAAAACACATTAAAATACTAGGATTAATGGCATGTTTGGTTAAAAATATGCCCATTCAATGTAACTCTTACCATGCACAGTGCATTCTCCTAGCACACGCGCAGCCCATGCTAACAATACAGCACTGTCTGAGCCAGGACTACATGCTTTCATGTCCAGTAATTTTATAACTGGAGTGAATTTATTTTATATTTGATATGATATTTCAGTTACCTAGCAGATAGTAGCTTGAAGCAAAGCACACCGTTTTTTCTTTTACTTTCAACCGTCTGCTAGTTCTTGCTGGCTAGCTGTGAGATGTAGCTTATTTGAGCTTGTTGAGGAGTTTTAATTCATTATTTCAATATATTCTTGACTGTAAAACATTTCTTTTATAAAAGGTAAACCCTATGTTTGAACACAGCCCACATTGTCATCTTGAGTTTTCAAAGTACCTTTAGCTTTAGTAAGTTATCTTGCTAGCTAGCTGCCATGTGGCGAGTTATTAAGCTAGCTAGCTAACTCAATACATGGCACATTTCACACTGTATGTATGTTACAACATTTGAAAATGTATTGGGCAAATTAATGGATTATGTTTTAGTTTTTTTTCCTTATACATGTGATGTTTTGGAGTTGTTGTTTTTTGTTGTTTTGTTTCTTTCCGTTAACCGTCAAGTGGGAAATAAGTATTTTCTGTGTTTCTCTTAGTATCCTAAGATACTGTTATGTTTGGCTGTGAAAAAAAAAAAAATTATTATGAAGGGCAGACCATCTATTTCTATTTATTTAGATTTTTTTAGAAAGGGGCCGGTCATATAAGATTTTTTTCTTCTCCCTGCTCCTTTTCGCTCAATGGTGTGTTTTTAGAGACATGTTTTGTTGGCAATTATTGTACATTGGGTTTTGCGTACCATGAGCGGAACAAATAAAAATGAAATGAAATGAAATAAAAAAATGAAATGATTAGTTTCTATCTCCACATCATACAGTACACCTTTCATGTTATTTTACAGTATTCACAAGAGTTTCAATTCCAGTGATGGGCTATTCTCTCTCAACTTGATGAAGGGAGGAAGTCCAGGTTCAAAACTTAAAGATTTACTTATGGACACCACACAAGATTGAAAATTACAAATAGGACGTAAACATTTATTTGTGTCTATGTAGCAACAGATCAAAAAGTGTGTGTGCGTACCTGTCTCTGTTTGAGGAAGTCCAGCGCTATTTGGACATTCTGTAGTCGATGAAATCTCATGCGCCCCTTTTCTCTGGGCTGGAAAGAAAAGAAAGGAGAATCAAATAATGAGAAAAATCAACACATTAATTTAAACTCAGTCTTTTTTAGTGAAACAAACGCAGAAGGCAGCAGTGAGTGCAAAAAAAGCTGATTTCAATCCACAGTGCAGTGAATTAAAACATCAGCGCAGGGGACATGAAATGGTCCTCTGGGGGCCGCTGTCTTCAACAGGAGCTGTTAAAGACAGGCCAGAACTCAGCAGCAAACTACACCCAAACCATGCTGCTAAAGAAGGAACAATGCAAACCTCATATCAGATCCATTTACACCTTTCCTTTATACAACGTTACAGTTTCACAAACAGACATCCCACTCAAGGTTGAGAGCAAGGAAAGAAGTATAAGAAGAGAGTAAAGCAAGAGAGAGAACACAGAAAACACTTAACAACCACACTCTTGCTGCAAACAGTATGTGAGTGCAGGATGCAGATGTGGGTACACACTGTGCTGGTAAAAAGAAGGTACACTCAGGATTAGTCATCACATCAGCAGGAGGGAAATGATGGAGAAGAGAGGAGAAGTGAAGAGAAAGGGATAAAGGAGAGGAGAGGGGAGAAGAGAGAGGAGGATAGACGAGGTAGAAAGGAAAGAAGAGGAAAGGAGAGGAAAGGAGATTAGTGGTGTATATTTGTGCAATGCAATACATTAATTGTATTGTGTTTGGATTAAATTAACTGATGTATTGAGCTAATAAACGTGTAAAGGCTGTTTTTTAAAACATCAGACAATTAGAGGGTTTAAACGCAAATTACTTTTTTGTTTCTATATAATACACAATAAATAATTTCAAAAATGTGTTACAATTTTTGTTTGAAATATCATTATCCTTAATGTTTTATGTACAATTAAATAAAACCAGAGGGTTAATAATTCAATTATTATAACATCTCAAATTATTTCTAGATGGATACAAATGAACATCCCCTTACATAAGTTGTATACCACTATAACAGACCTGCAACAAATTCTACATTTAGGAATGTTTTTAGTATTTTGTTTAGACCGTCAAAGAGCTTCTGTATAACAATTATCAATGATTATTAATCTGTATAACAATTATTGTGGTCGTAGTGAGTGATAGTGTGGAACACCATTAAAATGTTTGTAATTGAGGTTGGCTTAACATTAGAAATATCTAAATATATATTGGCTGTAGTTTCCAACACTATCGCAAATACATACATATTTCATATGTAGTTACATTATTACCATTGACTGTGTAAATCCAAACAGAAATTATTATCTGATGATTTAAGACTGAGGAATTTTCATTTCTGCATGTCTATCTGTCAGCTCCCACAGGAAAAACTACTTTCAACATGAAAATCATCTAATCGTTTGTGATGAAGCAGTGACTCAGCAGAAATGACAGCCTGCATGTATCACACAGTGACTCAGCAGAAATGACAGCCTGCTTGTATCACACAGTGACTCAGCAGAAATGACAGCCTGCTTGTATCACACAGTGACTCAGCAGAAATGACAGCCTGCTTGTATCACACAGTGACTCAGCAGAAATGACAGCCTGCTTGTATCACACAGTGACACAGCAGCTCTGCATGGTGTCATGTGCAGCCCAGTGTGCTGGTCAGAGATCAGTGCACAGCACTCTCATGCAGCTCACAGCTCCACCTGTGGGGAGGCAGAGGGGGAAGCTGAGGGGTCAATGGTCAGAGAGTGAGCGATGGAGAGGGGGGGGGGGGCAGGGGGGTTGACTGGAACATACTCCCTGAGCTCCTTCCTCCTCCTCCTCCTCATCCCCCCCTTCGAGCAAGATGAGAGGGGGGGCCCGCAAGGTGTATGCCCTTTTCGGTGGAGGGCCGCTCTTCTGTTGCTATGGTAACAGAAGGAAGGGGATGGGAGATAGAAACAGAGGAAGAGGAGATGTACAGAAGAGTGAGATATGGTGGATATAAAGGACAGAATGAGTGAGTTGAAGTATAAAAAAAAAAGAGGAGAAAAGTCCCGTAACAGCTAAATCAAGTTCACATGTCATGTTCATGAAGGCTGAGAGAAGAGTCTGAGTCAGCAGTCCGTCTGGATTAGTCTACCTGTCAGCCACTAAACCGGCCTGCGTCACATGTGTCCTGTTGGTCTGTCTGCATTAGGAACTAACACTCTTACATCACTCTGCTGAGCAGAGTCAGGCCACTAAGGCTCAGGAGGTAGAGTCATTAACCACAAGGTCGGCGGTTCAATCCCCGACTCCTCCTGTTGAGGTGTACTCAAAGAGGCCTTATTATGCTTTCTCTTTTTCCTATATCTTCCAATCAAATGACGACCACATTTCCATCAAATAAAATGGCACGTAGCATCACACATGCTATTGGTTAAATTGAAAAGGCATTCTTTTTTGTAAGACACTATTATTCTACAGTATTGTTCCATTATAATGTATAAAGAATAAAGCTTGGGTATAATTGTTCTTAAAATAGATATAATATATAAGGAAACAAAACCACAACAAATATCCGGATCCAACTCTAATTCTTGAATTGTCCAATATCCGGGTCAAGCCCTTCTTGCATACATTTTGAATACAACATTCCAGTTTGTTCTTCTTGAGCATGAATCGTGTGTTAGCCTGGAGCAAAAAGTATCCTCAAGCTGGAAATGTTTAACGGCCTCTTGAACCCCAGCGTTACTTTTGAAGAGTGTGTGTCACAATCTCAGGACTGTGATGTGATGAAGTGGGGTTGACAGGGAGTGTGATGGATCACAGGAGGAGTGTGTGGAGGAAAAGATTACAGTGTGATGACATGAGTGAGAAAATAATCATGTGTCTGTGCAGTTGTGTGTGAGGGAGATATATAAATCCATACCAAGGTGACTCCAGAGAGGACCTCCAGTAAGGAAATGAGGTTGTGCCCATCCCTCAGGTCCTCGTACAGGTCTGTGATGTGCTTCCTCACCTGGGGAAGGAGGGATGAAAGAGGGAGGGAAGGAAGAGAACAAGTTAATCATCCCTCTGGTGACACAACCCTGGTGACCTCTGCCAGGCAGCGGTTGCCGAGCCGACAGAGATGAGGCACCAGCTGTGGCTTCTTGTCTCTGTTGCCATGACATTGCCTCCACAGTGAATGGGGTGGGGGTGGGCTGTCACCGGCGGCAACTGCTTATTACACAGTGACTCAGCAGCCTGATCAGCATTAGTGCTGGTTTTGTTTGAAAGTGGGTCACTCAGTGAGACAGAAAGAGAGACGGGAAATGTCCTAAGAAGACAGATTGTATTATTATAGGGTCAGCTGTACTTATCTATAATAACAACTCTATAAGAAGGTTCTATAACTGTTTAATGCTAACACTGACACAACTACTTCTTTATAATCTATGAATGAATGATCCATTGCTCATGTTCTATGTCAAGGGGTTATTCCTAATAAAGAATTTCCAATGAATAAGGTAAAACATTTATACACTGGCCTACATTATTTAAAGGGGACCTATCATGCAAAATGCACTTTTGTACGTCTTTTATACATGAATATGTGTCCCCGGTGTGTCAGGGAACTCACCAAGTGTCAGAAAACCCAACCCTCTCTCTTTTCCTCCATACCCAAATCTCTAAAAACGGGGCTGCAACGGAGCTGATACAGATTTGAAATTGTTCTGGCGTCAGAAACAGGGAGCTACGCCTATATGGGCAACTCTCCACCTATCAGGGGAATGGGGGGTTGGGCCACGGCCACGGCCATTGTCGCTCGAAAGCGCTGGAGACGCTGTAGTACATATGCCAGGCCTGTAAGTGGCGCTGTAGTCTGCAACAAAAGCAGCGACGAAGACTTCTCACAGAATCAGCCCATGCAAAAACAGGGCTGGAAAAGAGCAAATAGAGCGAAATGAGGCATGGCTAAAATGCATGATCTGTTTGGTATTTTGAAAACAAAACTTCACAAACATGTTTTATATAGGTATGGCCCTACAATATATATTATTCAAATATAGCATGATAGGTCCACTTTAACCTTTTTGACATATATATTGTTGGGTTGTTCCTCCACATTTTGTTCTAAATGGAGGAACTTCTAGTGATGTGATGTTGTAATTATACTGTTTTTGACAAACAGAAATATTGTTTTCTGGCATCACTTTAAAATGTTACAGGGAATATCTGCATTTTGGTATGAGGGCGCACGCCAAAAGTAAGAGGGCGCTGCACACCTGTTAAATAAAAGTAACACATGATGTTATGCCTCATTGCACTGTTACAACAAAGGTAACATGTGGTTATGGAGTGAATAATGAATAGAGACAATATTTTAAATGTAATAATAAGACACAGTTTTTGTTTTGCAAGCTCTTCTATTTTGGTCTGCTTTGACCAGTTTCTGAAGGATAAGCATACGTTACAATACAATATCTGCAGAAGGACAAAGCAGTATCAGGCACAGGCAAAGATAAAGCTTTTTTTTTGTAAAATAAATGATTAAGACAGTGGAAAGAGACACACCCAGCAAAAATGCTGATCCACTTATGCTGCAGAGAGCACATGTCTACCTTCAATACAGCAAAATACCTGCTTCTCTGCATCTGCACTGAGAAGGGCTTTACTGCAGTCCTGGCCTCAGGACAAGAAACTGTACTGCCACATGTCACCACAAGAGGGCGAGACACACACAATAGTAAACAGAGAGAAGCTGCAGGGGTCTAAACTTTCCAACAAAGTCATAAATAACAAAATATTATTTCAACAAAACCACATATCTAATACCTCATTTATATAATGCTAAACATTTTTGATTTAGGCAGGACAGAACTTCCTCCTGGGGTTTAGCTCTGAGCTATAAATGTCTTTGCTTTCACCTCCAGCTACAAAAGTAACAACATCCCTCCACTTGTCCTCAATAACCCCTTTCCTTTCTTTCCACATTCATGGTGAGTCTCACCCTCCTGTTTCCACACTGAGGGTGACATCAGCTGTTTTAGACAGGAGCTGATGGTACAAGTGTTAATTAGATGTCAGGAAGGAATGAAGTATCCAACACTGACAGGAAGTGAGGTGCTGTGTTTGTCTAATTGTGTCTCCGTGAGTCAGAGGCTGTGTGAAATTAGTCTGAACAAGTGAATCCTTTTTGTCAATAATGTGCTTACTGGAACTCAACCCGGTATCTTTTCAAATCATCAACCCCGTGAAAAGTGTTCAAACAATTACCTAACATATTTACAGGATAGGACAATAGAGTATTGGCCAAACCTGGAATCATTTTTAAATTATAATTTTTTCTAAACTGCTTTGTGTACGTACAATACCTAAAACCACAGTGCCAAATGAGCTAACCTTCAAGGATCATTTAGGCCAGTCAGAAAGCCCCTGCTGCATGACACAAAAAGGTGCAACCGTTAGTTGATTGGGAGAAATATAACTGCTTACATGATAATAAAGTAATATATTAAAGTAGTTCATTCAAAAATGGCAGAACATTTGTAATTTGGATATGTTCCAATTTTGTTTGTTTAATATAATATTAAAGTAAATATCTTTGGGTTTTGGACTTTGAGAAACTGGGACGCACATTCTTTTTAAATTGCTAAAACATGCATTAAATAATCTTGAAAATAATCAGAAGATTTTATTTATTTTATTAATAATAAAGATAGCCATTGGCTGTGGCCCTATTTACACAGTGTGTACAGTACACTGTGGTGTGTGATACTCAGTAACTGTATACAACATCCGGTAGGACAGAGTTCAGTGTGCGGACACGTCTCTGAATCTAAAGTCACTCAGCTGGATCTGTAGATTGTCCCCATGTGATGTTATTTTTTATGATCAGGGTGTTATAGCGCGTCTGTGTCTGCTGGGATGTTGCTGACACATCCAGCTGTGTGTGATGAGACGTGACGGCAGCTGTCAGAAGAACTGTTGTTCAGAGCTTATGCGAGGACAAGCACAAATGTAAAATAGCTTCAAATGTGATTTAATAGTTTGACAACTACAGAAGGATGGTAGAATACATGATGGCAATTATATGAATGCCAATTGGTGTAAATTAAAGGTTTGCAGATTTACATGTTGCTCAATTTAATGTGATTTGATACAATGTGACGGGCTTTGGCAACCTCACATACTGTATCTGAAAATCCAAGCAGGAAATATAGTTCTGAACATTATGAGCACATTCGATACAGTTCTGCCTGCATAGTAAAGACTTAGCAAAAGTACACCCAACAATCTTGCTGTTTAAGTGTTTACAGGTTATCTCAAGTTTTTTTGTGTATAATTTCTTGATTTTCTAGGTCGCACGAATAATGGCTGCTACAAGCTAAATTCATTAGAAGCACCTGTCAGGTCATATGGACATTAGGTTAAACAAGTTCTCATCCATCATGGGCTTCATACATTCCCAAAAAAACAAAATCATTGTCAATTACATTTTGAGGCAAAAGGATTGTCTCCTGGAAAATGTTGTTTCCAACATATCACAAATAATTTCTGATCAATGTCCGTGGAGGAGGTCGGGGTGGAAGGATGGACAAAGGTTTGAAACTTAAAGTCAACTCTTAATTTTTTTGTAAGAAAATGAACATACTTATTTTAAGCCAAATTATGTTTGACTTAATTTAACAAATTAGTTTTGTTGTGTTTTAGTCTTGTTTCAATTTAAAACATAAACCAAGTATTTAAAATAGTGACCGTATTCATGGAATAAATACTTTTCCCCTTAGAAAGTATTTCAGAATGCAGTTTAGCTGAAAAGGAACGTAGTTAAATAGGCAGGGTTGGATCTAAACAAATATCGACCAAAATCGCTTAGTTCTGTTTAAAATCAGCATCTAACATTTCACTGTTCTATAATCTGATTAATTCAAACATTATTTATAGTATTCCCATGTGTTTGTTGTCTCAATAGTGGTTTCCTAGTAACATTTGCTGCTGTAGCTGAATTAATTTGATAACATGGACAGATATGTGGATTAGCATCTTGTTAGCTTCAGTGTGGCTAACAGACAGATATGTGGTTTAGCATCTCGTTAGCTTCAGTGTGGCTAACAGACAGATATGTGGATTAGCATCTTGTTAGCTTCAGTGTGGCTAACAGACAGATATGTGGTTTAGCATCTTGTTAGCTTCAGTGTGGCTAACAGACAGATATGTGGATTAGCATCTTGTTAGCTTCAGTGTGGCTAACAGACAGATATATGGTTTAGCATCTTGTTAGCTTCAGTGCGGCTAACCTTCTTCTCTCTGTGAGAAGCCTCTTCTCTCCTCCTGACTTCTTAAAGCAAAGCCACTGGATCTGAGCTCACTGTGTCAACACACTGCGGGTCAGAGAGTCACTGCATGCCAGCAGGTAGCTCGGAGGCCAGTGTTTATATTACACTGTTTGCATTGAACACACACACACACACACACACTGATACACACCTGTCAACACCCTGCACACCTGAGTGGTCTAACAAATACCAGACATGACACACAGAGCAAAACGGAAACTAACTTCCTGAGGGCGGAGCGCTTTCTATCTTTGTCTATGTGTTTTCATCCCTTCTCTTTGTCTCAGGAGCTTATTCTTTATTCCGTCTCTTAAATCTTCCATCCCTCCTAGCTTCAGTTGTGTCCTCTGTCTGTGCGTTTGTCTGTAAATCCCTGCAGATAGGGCGGAGGTTTGTACAGACCTGGCTGAGAGTCAATAGATGAAATATTTCACCCCACTCTGTTCGATCGTTGGGACATGATGGCTTTTTGAAATATGACTTATTTGCCAACACTTTCTCATCAAACAGCAGCTGATGTTTCTCCTCGCTCATTTGTTATCCATGTTTTCATGTCATCCCCCCACCAAATATTTATATTTTATAGTATTGAACCAAAACTATTTTTTTAATGTTTCCTTAAAAACGTGCCTAAACCATTTATTGAAATATCTAAATTCCTGCCAAATAATAATTATGTTGATCAATGACTCAATTAATCAGACAATCATGTACCTATGTAATAATAAGTATTTCTTTTTTCAAACCTCCCATTACAAATGAAAGGAGTGAAAAATCCTCCCCTCTCTCCGCCTGCTGCTCTCACTCTCCATCTCTGACCTACATATACAGAGAGCTGTGTGTGTGTGTGTGTGTGTGTGTGTGTGTGTGTGTGTGTGTGTGTGTGTGTGTGTGTGTGTGTGTGTGTGTGTGTGTTTGCTGATATAGAGTGACACTCGCAGGCTGAGCTGTGTGACGACAGCCGCTCCACAGTTATGGGGTCAGACAGACGCTTCACGCTGGGTCATGTGGCAGAAATACCCAGCATTCCCCTCTCCTCAGAGTCCTTACCGCCTGTGTGCATGTGTGTGTGACACGGGGCACACTGTGCTTTATTTGATAGATCTGGCATGTGTGTGCAGATGTGACAGTGAGCAGAGGCAGCTGTCAGGGGCCAAAGTCAGGAGACTAACAGTTATGTCAGAGATTATAAATCACTGTTTTCCTTCCAGTTTCATTATCTTCAACAATTGATGTCCTTTACTTCAAGTTCACGACTCTTTGCAACTGATGCTTTGATGTGAATTGAGGGCTTTCAGGTATATATATCTTATTGGTCCTCTACAGCTTATTGTACTGTATTCAACCCTTTAAAACGTAACAACCTCCCGACAAGATTCTTTAAAAAAATTACAAATGCTAAAATGCTAAAATGACACCATTTGTCAAAGGCAGAATCTGTTTAAAAATAAAAACTGTTTGCACTAATCAGTTCTTATAAAAAACAATAAATGCTGCTCTTCTCTGCGCAAAAGGGAAGATATGAATGACTTCTCTGCGACCAACACTCACATGACAAAATATCGAGTGGTCCAGAGCGGTTGGAAGTTGATGTTGTTCAAATGTAAATAGCTCAGAATGTTTAGCACCTATTTTTTGCCAATATTTAACATACTTGTGGAAACACAAAAGTTGTGTGTATAGACCAGATTTTGCATGTCTTTTTCTAGGATTAATGGCAAAAACACACTGGAACTGCTTTTGGTACAGACGGGTTTTAGTCTTTATGCAGCTGCTCATTCAGATTTAATTCATTCAGTTTTTATTTATTTATTGATGCCTTCAAATTAAACAGTCATGTTCAGTATCCTGGCGAGACAAAGACAGTCTGCCAATCAATAATTTAATATTTGCATTCCAGCAAAGGTCTGAATTCACAACCATTATTAAATATTCATTCAAAACTCACATTTAGTTTATATATACCGCTTTGCCTTTGCTACAACACATGCTTGAATAGTTAACATGGCCTGACAGAGGGACACGCTTTAACAAGATGTACCGTTACCACTGATCAGTTACACAGCACTGATGAAGACGGACCAGATGGAAGTGTTTTTTAAAAGAAACGTAAATATATTTTGAACCTAGAAGCACAAGAAGAGGCTCTACATTGCAAATTGAAACCATAAGTGTTTTATGAAGCTAACATTCTGCTTACATAACACTAATAGATGTGTAGGAACACCTGACAGAGAAGAAGTAGATGGAGAAAAGAAGATGTCATGGTCTCCTTGAGATTAGTGTTTACTGTGCTCAGTTGCTTTATGGTGATATGGCAGTAAAACTCATCCGTAGCAGGTTTCCGGGACACGTAGAGGCGCTTTTCTGAAGCTTTTATTATCCTCCTGCGAGATTTAAGACATATGGTCCAGGAATTTTACGACCTGAGACTTTTTCTTTCATTGATTTTGAGATCAATGTTATTTTAGGTGGTATAGGAGGCCGGATAGTAGTAGAGCTGCAACAATTGGTCTTCTGATTGATTAGTTTAGTGCTTATTCTAATAATTTATAGTGATAAAGTAGTCATTTTTATTGCAAAATTGCCAGGAAATGCCATTTTCAGCCTCTCAGATATGGAGATTTGTTTCTTTTTATTCTCTTTTATATCTGTTTATGTTATAATTTACTTTATAAAACGGACAAGTCAAATCAAGAAATCTGATTGGTTCTTAGCCGTGATATAATGAGCGTATATCACGGGTAGAATTGTAGTTACTTTCCACAACAAGTCAGTATCCCTCCACGTCTGAGAAAAGCTACAACCGTTACAACTGTTACATTACGTCCGTTAAGAAACTAACTAACTAACAAAGCTTAAGATGGAAACATGTAAGGGATAATGTGCAGCAAGGACTTATTGACCGTTGTTAAGGACGCTCACATCTGCAGAAAGAAGTCCGGTCGATTTAACTGTATACAGTTGGGCTGAAAAGCAAACTGCATGCAGTTTGCTTTTCAAACTGGGACAAGAAAACAGCGGAGAAGTAACGGGGCAGACACCCTCCTTTTTACGCAGCGATCCAGACATAGACATCAAACGGCAAAACATATTCAGTTGCCAGTTACTTTGGCATTAGGGCAGGGATATCTAGATACTTTCCAAGGTTTCACATAATGAATTGTGCTACTTTTAAAGCAAGCAACAATGTTTTCAAATCTGTAATCAAAAAGGTCCGCAAAAACGCTATCGAAGCAGTTCCTACCGTTGCTACGTAGTTCAAACAGTAACAACGGACTATTTTTGATCTGCCTGTCGGGTGTTCTTTTACCCAAAATGACCGCCTCGCTGCACATTATCCCTCACTTAACTTCGACCTCCGGGGGGGTCTTACTATGGAGGAGTGGATTGAGCAGTGCCTATCTCCAGAAAAGAAATGCACCTAAACGACGACATGCAGAGCTACGTGAAGAGCAGGTAGACCAACTGGAAAAGTATCACCATTCAAAAGCTTTCTGATGCGGGTCTTGAAACAAAGCAGAGAAATTATGACCGTTAGTGGCCACAGGTGCGAAAGCTCTCTCCAGAGCTACTGGAAGCCGAATCTCGGGGACCGGAGAAAGTGGAGCAATATTCTCGCCACGCCAAGCAACAGCCTAGAACAACCTCAGCCTATACAAGTGACCACGTAAGCCATGCTACTGATGCTGGACAGTTTTTCAGTGGGTGCACAATAAACGGCAACATACACATTAATGTAAATAAATAATAATAATCTATCAACACTCTCTGTCTAATATGTTCGCTAGCTGTTAGTGTTGTTGCATAGCAACCACCTCGCACTATGTTTTGTGCAGAAGGCAACGGAGGGACTATTTTATTTTGAACATCATTATTTACTAATAAAAACCATTTAAATTAGAGTGTGTATTTTTCTTTCATATTGCCACACTTGCCACACTTGGTGCCACACCCCCACGCCCCTTAGCTGTGATATAATGAGCATATACCACGGCCTGTCGTGAGCTATTGCTTAAGTAACATCCTATTTCTATTGAACAAACCTTCAGCATTTAATATAAAATAACCCCACAAGGCCAAACCCAGCACATTTAGTGTCAGTGATACACACCTTGATGAGATGCTTGTTGACCCATTTGGTGAAGGTTTTCTTCTGCACCCTGTCCCGCTCATCTGAAGAAAGAAAATAAAGAGAGGAGGAAGGTTAATAACATAATCTTAATCCAGCGTGTTAGCTGCAGCCAGTGACACACACACACACACACACACACACACACACACACACACACACACACACACACACACACACACACACACACACACACACACACACACACACACACACACACCACACACACACACACACACACACACACACACACACACACACACACACAGCACACACACACACACACACACACACACACACACACACACACACACACACACACACACACACACACCACACACACACACACACACACACACACACACACACACACACACACACACACACACACACACACACACACACACACACACACACACACACACACCACACACACACACACACACACACACACACACACACACACACACACACACACACACACACACACACACACACAGTAAGTGATGATGCTGATCCATTTAGACAAATACCAGGCATGGATTACATTGACCTGTGTATAACAACATGAGAGGGTCTCTGCAGGAAAGATGTTCTTCATTTTCAAACCACCACAGAAGCTCAGACACCCACACAGACACAAAGCACTGCTTTATCCTCAATGTTCCTGCTAATGTGCACATCTTTGACTCAAAATAAGAGCTCCTCCTCCTCCTCCTCCTAGAAGGAGATTATAAATAACAATACCAAAACACAAAACCAAATCAACAGAGCTCAGCTTTCAATATCAGGTTTTGCTACTCTGCAATTCTTCCGGAGTCTTCTATGAGCAAAGAGGTATTTTAAACGCCAATACCCCAGACATTGTGTTCATTTAACTGTGGGAAGATAAACCTTCAATAATAATTTACAATAGATTATTGGTACAGGCCTAACATAAGAACACATTCAAACACACTCTTCGTCACAGTGCTACATCTTTGGTTTCCCTATGTAAAGACTTGGTTGAGAAACTGTGGAGTTTCTTTGAGTTCATGGGCTCAAGGTCCTGTTGATAAGATCCTCTATATCTGCAAACGTCGCCTCTTGTAAAGTCTTTAACAGCTATGTTTACTATGTTTGTTTGTTTTCTTTCCCACTTCATGACTGGAAAAAGGCTGCCTGCATGTTAACTACTTTATATAGAGCTCTGTATTTCTTCCGTTCAGTGATTAACCTTCCTCTGAGTCTCAAGTGTGTGACTTCCAGCCTCCGGAGGCCAGAGTGGTGAGGCAGCCAGGCCAGGAATAGAGCCTGATGCTGGGCCACAACTGTGTTATCTCCCCCCTCACCACCACCACCATCACCCCCTTTTCCTCCACACTGATTGAGCCTCTCTTCCTTTCCCGCCTCTGTCTGCTCCTATCAGTCTGTCTGGGAGAAAACACAGACCGCTCTCCTTTTCCTTTCCCGCCATTCTCTCATATATCTACTTCCTGCTGGAGGGATAGTTCACATCCTTTCAAGTGATGTGGTTACCAAACGGTTTTAGTCACCAAAAGGGATGCAAAATGTAATGTGTGCAATGCATGTAAAAACATGTTCAATAATATTTGTTGGTTATGGAGCAAGTTGGTTACCGGTAGTTTCCTTGATGGACAGAAAAATAATCGACAATCATTTCAAAAAATCGATCAATCAAACATGGAAACATTTGATGACATCACCGGGCCTTAGGAATTTGTGACATTTTATAATCCCGACAGTTAATCGAACATTAGAGGAAATAAAACTATGAGGAATAGATCATTAAAAATAAGTAAGCTACAGTCCTAAATAGCAATGCTATATTAGAAATCAAACATATATAAAAGACATATAGCAGTCAAATCTAAACAGAATAAAAGAATGTAACTAAACAATTATTTGCATTTGTATGTTCTTGTGAAAAAAACATGTACTTAAATATGTTGCAAAGGATATTGTTTTTTATCCAGGTCATTATCTGTATCGCAATTGAAGTTGATTAAAATAAATTGTAAATATTATGTACAAATATTCCCTCCAGTAGCTTAAATGTAGGTAAAATAAAACCATTTTAAAATACGTTTATTCCTCATACCAACACGAGCACTCGCTCACTCAACAGCTCAATCACAGAGGAGTATTTTCCCTCCAGTTTTTCAAACAACCAATCAGAGAACAGGTACTTCCCTTCCAGCCAGCTGTTATCAGTTGCCATGGAGAAGCCATACGAGAGAGCAGCCATGAGGAGAGACGGTATCACTTCCTCCTTCAAAAATCACCCGCACCTTTACAATTAGCCCTCACACCTTCAACAGACTCCACATGTAGAAAGGTTTCACAAAATGTAGAGTTGACATGTCATTTGTGGGTCAAATATGGATACTGGACAGAGGTCAATCTCAACACTTCAATACTCACACACACATGGGTGACAGAGAGTTTACATAAAGGGCAATCCCTCCAGGCTGAGAACAAATATTTCAACACACCATTGCAAAATAGTTTCACCACTGCAACACGCCTACCCAAACCTGTCTGGTTAGCCTGGTGAAAACACTATGCTGCTTTTTACAAGTTATTAGATCACACACACGCTTCTCACTGCACCCGTGAAGCCTCATCATGTTCATGAAGGTATGGTAATAAAGTCTTGATTATATCATTGTTATTGAAACAGAAACAGAGTTGTGAGAACAGTAGAGGTGTGTGAGTGACAGCCACGGAGAGGCACCCATTCAGCGACAGTGGCGGGCATTGTTAAGAAGAACACGCCCCCTTCCACGCTGTCCAAACACACACACACACACACACTTTACACACACACACACACACACACACTTTGCCCAGACACCCACAATGATTAATAGACACCACATTAAATATGTTGTCACCGGTGTGTGCACAAACAGGAAGTGTTCAAACACACTGATCCACGTGCTGACAGCATGTAAACAGTGTCCTGCTGTGACACACACACACTGACCTAGGCAGCACATGAGCGTGCACAGGTGAGCGTTGAGCTGGCATTCATTCCTGTAGTCGGACCACATCATAATCCGCTGAGGAAATGTCCTCCAATCAGAGCTCCATAGAAAATAATCCAAGACAGGGGTGAGGTAATAATAGTAACAAGCTTCTCTCTAGTTTCCAGAAGCTGCCGGGTGTGTGTGTGAGCACCGGCAGGTACAGCAGGTTAGAGGAGTGTCTACTCCTGTGTGTGTCTTGGTGTATTCCTGCCGTAGTGGTTCCCTCTGTCCCTGGTCGTTGTGTTCACTGCCATGTCTCCTTGCCGGCCTTTTCCCCCACCCCACTCCTCCCCCGGCAGCAGTTGCTCTCACACGTGTGTGTCAATGTCAGCCGCCGCTCCTCCTCTTCAGACCAGAAAAGGACGGCCCCACTTCTACTTCCTCACCAGGCAGTGGCACTCTCTCTCTCTCTCTCTCTCACTTATTCTCTTGCTCACTCGCTCGTTGTTTACAGTCACACTGCAGCTGACGGTGGCTCTGCAGAGATGCAGTGCTGCTTACTCCTCTTATTTTCTTTGCTGTTTTCCATCTGCTCGAATGCGCAGGTAGGCAACTGCATCCATAGAGAATATTTTCGTTTTTTTACTTTCTATTTTTTATTTGAAAAGAATAATTGTGGGTAATTTAATCGACATTTTCAGGTAACAGACGCTCTCTTTTTGTCAAATAGCAGAACAGTAGACCTTCTTCTGAATAGAAATCGTGTTTTAAGTCCTAGACAAATCCATTAGCGATGATGTAATCCACTTGAGTTCTTTCTGTGTTCCAGAAAAACAAAACAGCATCCAAAATATGACTTGCTCTGCCAATCCTTTACGAACATACACTTGTCTGGTTCAAGCTGACAGACGCCAGAAGGCAGCAGCTCCCTGATATCTCCATTTCCTTGCCTTCACTCCTTCTCCTTTTCCCATGTTTCCTTTCTTTAAGTTCCCGGCTTTTTTTATTTATTTTTTAAATAAAAGACTCAACCCCCTGCTTCTTTTCAGCGAACTCTGTCACTTTCTGAAGGAACAGAAAACAGGCTTGGTCATAAATGGACTTTAGTCTCATCAAGAGAGGCCAGGCACATTTGTGATGCTGTATAATTTGATATTGAAAGGAACAAAACAGTCAAAGTCAATCATCTCATCAGAGTCTTGTGTGAGCAGGACAGTAATGAGAATAGACGAGGGCGTACATACTGAAGAAAAGCCCATGTCATATCTGGCCTGGGTCCAGACCTGTGTTTTCAGGCAGCCACAGTGAGCTCTCAGCGGTGAGAGAGCGGCCTCTCGCAGGCTTTAGCTCCACCGCCTGGTACTGAGCTCATCATCTAATCACGACGAGACAATACCCCGTCCAGGCCTGCCTTCGAACTCAGATTTGAGTCACACCGCTCTACCCCCTTCCTACTTGTGTATCGCAGTGTCTCAAAATAGCCCTGCTGTCCCAGAGAGCGCAGACGCAGTTTTGAATAATTTCTGCTCTGTCATGTTTTACAAAAAAAAAGAGAAAGTAAGGAATCAGCGGTGAGTCTGCACAGGACATCAGCTGGGCTTTGGCGTCCTCAGAAAGTCATGTGACCTGGCGCGGACCCAGGAAGTGATCGGGATGATACGTCAGCATCAGTGTCCTCTGCGGTTGCAGATCCACACACAGCTGATCCAGCCAGACAGGGACACACACTCTGACAGCCACAACAAGCTCCTCCTCCTCCAGCAGCAGCAGCGACGTCACTCCTTCATCTCCTTCATCCCTCCTTCTTCTTCCTCTCCCTCTTCGCTCCCTCTTGCTGTTAGATTCTTTCCTCCGCTACTTCGCAGTGAAGCTCCGTTTTTTTCCATCTCCATCAGACCATCCGCACTAAAAATACCAGACGGAGCTAAAGCCTGTAATACCACGCAGCATGCTTATCCCTCCCTCCTTCTCTCCCTTTATCACCTCTAATCTCCCTCCCTCTCTCTCGCTGCTGTCTTCCGGTATCCTGGCATCCTTCTCTTGTGATTCAATCATGGAGTGGATGTTTTCCT